TTTTAATCTACCGTATACTACTAGTGCTCGGGGACCACACAGAACGCGCATAGAAAACTCATCACAATATAGACGCAAATGCAATATACTGGATACAGACACACAATAGCCCAACCCATTTTCATTAGCACGGTATGTATTATGACTTTCTGACGAAAATACCAACGAACCCGGGTCAGGGTAGGCGAAAAACATAAGTACACGTACTGAAGCGTATGAGTGTCAGAGTGTGCTCAATGGACTTCGGTGTTGTGGCTGTGACAGCTGTAGCTGTAGCGCACGATTGTTTCTCGCACTAATGGTGCAGACCAACGCCATTTCACCTTTGCATACAGAGAGGAGTATGTGCTGAAGCGAATGTTTTTGGAGAAGGGTAGCGCTGTGCGGCTGAGTGGCTTACGGGAGATCGAGTTTGGCCAGATTTTCAGCAATCATCTCTATATTGCCCGGTATGTTGGGGCCAAAATTACTTCTGGATGATAAGACAACAACCCCTTGCTTTTCGATGTACAGCGTTGTGTGATTCGTTATGAGTGCATATGTTAAGTAGTTGTTTAGAGTTCAATCTCACACACATACACACATTGCCAATCGCTTGAATGTGGTCACCTCATCCACACTTGACACGCTATAGATCTAAAAATGAATTTGCGGAAATGTAGAAACCAAATAAATATTTATACACTATAATTAATCTGAATACTTCTCACGAGGTATCTATATATATACACAGAATCCAAACACTGTTGACGTATACTGTTCTTTTGTAGTCTCATCACAAAATCTTGTTATTGTAATTCGACGCCCCATACAACCATATCAATAGGAATTGCTGGGAACATCCGCATCAGAACGGGACCATTGATCACCAGGCTTGTTTGTATATACTCATGTATATACATTTCCACGTGTATATGTCAACAGTTCAATTCACTATTGAAATTAACATCGGATAATTCAATCGTGCTCAGTTTCTGAGGTTTTTGTGTCTACTGTTGCACAGGTTCATAGAGTTCTTCGAGGACAACGTTGATACACACTGCCATTCCTTCAGCGGGAGTGGGTCAGAGTCACCGCAGTCAACAACCATATCAGACGACCACTCAGGCCAAGCCAACAACGGAGAAGCACAGTCGCTGGATGACAATATGCACTTGGACGGAACACACGCGGACGATACTGGTGCTGAAGATACGGGCAGAGATAGCGAACAAGCACACAGCACAGGCTCTACTGACAGCAGTAGGGGTCGGCAGGGGGTTGACAAGGAGTTGTGGCTGGTGTTTAAGAATGAGGGTGTCTCGCTCAGGTCGTTACTGTACACTGCGGTAAGCTCAGTGGTATCCCACCGGTCCACACTTACTTGCGTCTCGTTTGTACGGGTTATGTATGTGGGTACACGCCCCTGTAGTTAGATATCTATTTCAAACGTGTACCAGTGATTAAGTATCAGTAGACACGATGAGATTTATGATCTATGAAGAAGAAGGCAGCAATTGAGTTTCTGCATTCTATATTTACAAACGAAATTGCACCACAGGTCTCTGATGGGAGTGGGTACTCGCACGTAGAGCGATCAGTACTGTGGTCTCAGCTCAAAACGACTTCCGAGGGGCTGTTGGTGATCAAGAGCCTAGTCAGGCAGATGCTCGCGGGCCTCAGCATGATGCATGCCAAAGGTATAGTACTGCACTTGTACACATTTAAGCGCATCTACACAAAAATACTGAT